GCCCCGGGGGGGGGGGGGGCCACAAAGCTGTCCCCCATCGCCCCTACATCCCAGCCGAGCGTGATGGGGACATTCAGGGCACGGCCTCAGGTCCCCTGACCCTGGGGGGTTTGGGGTTCAGGGTCTCGCAGCGCTCCCCTCTCCTCTCCTTTCTCCCCCCACAGATGCAGCTGGTGGCGGGGCGCAGGGCCGAGCCGGGGGGGCGATTGCTGACCCCCCTGGCCCTGCTACTGGCGGCTGCTGGGCTCTGCCTCTCCTTCTACAGCGCCCGGAGGATGGCCAGCCCCACCAAAGCCCCCCCAGAGCCATGAGGAGGGGGCTGGGGTCCCCCTCTGCCCGCTGTCCACCCCCCCACCCCACGCCCGAACGGAGCTGAGCTGCCGGATGCGGATCCTTTCCAGCTGATCTGCGCCACATCCAGCCCTTCCCTCCATGCCTGGGCGGTGCGATGCCCCGGGGCTTGGGGACATGCACCTCTGTCCCCCTCTCCGTCCCCATTTTCGGGAGCCGGTTCAACAACCAGGATGGAGAACGGAGAAGCCACCTCCAGAGCCGCCGGCTGAGCCCCTGACCGAACCGCTGCGAGACACCACGATCCCGCCGCAACACGAACAGAGCCTGAACGGATAGATGGATGGACGATGGAGCCTGGTGCTGTGTCCATCTCCATCTTCTCCCCAAGCAGAAGGGGCCTGGGGTGGCCCCTTGCACCCCGCTGGCAGCCAACGCAGCCCCCCCCATCCCTGCGTGGGGGGGACCGCGTTGTGGCCGCAGCCAGCCTGGCCCTGCGGAAAGGAGGTCAGCGCCGAAAGCCGTTAGGTAACGCGGCGGGGAGGGCTGGGACCAGACCGACCTCTGCAACAACGGGGTCGGGGGGAGACGGGGCCACGGGGTCAGCGACGTGTCCCCTGGGCAGGCACGTCCCGCTGGGATGGGGTCTGCAACCTTCCCGGTCCCCCTCGCACTCAGCAAACCCACGCAGAGCTGCAGCATTTCATCTCCCCGGAGCTGGAGACAAATCCGGGCGGGCTGTGTAGAAATAAACCCTTTCCTGCTGAGCACAGCTGTGTTGTCACTCTGCTTTTCTGCTGCTCCAGCCCAGAGCCCCATCCCCGGCTGGGCAGGAGGGTCAAACCTCTGGCCTGAGGGTTTTGCTGCCAGGGCTGCATCGGCAAAGATCCGCTCTGCAGGAATTCGCAGCAGCGGGTGGTGGCATCGTCAAAGTCCCCCAAAAGCCAGGCAGGCGGAGGAAGGGTCAGCAGCGGGATCACAGCAGCATCAGGCTGGTGGACGTGAGGCGGGGAGGCTGACCACACCACACACGCAGCCCCAGCCGTCTGGGAAGATGAAATCACTTGCAGGCGTTGGGTTTTTAGGGGACAGGAGCCTAAAAGTCTCCTTGCCGGGGGGACACCAGCAGTCCCCTCTCAGGGCCCAAACGGGCAGGGCCAGCACAACGAGCAGCTCGCCATACAGACCCAAGTGCTTGATAAAGAGCTCACTCAAGCACATAATCCTCCCAAAAAGCAGCCCCGTATCTGCTACCAGTAGGCTGGGAACCCCCTGCCAGGAGGGCAAAGCAGAAGCAGCTTTACCACCCTGCTAGAGCAGGAGCATCGGGACGAGGCCATTCCTCTGGGCTGGCACAGACGCTGGCAGTATTCCCCTTGGAGTGCTCGGGAAAAGCATAACACCGAGACATTGTCCTCTACCCCAAGGGGCGGCTGCCACCCTCCATCCAGGGCCTGGGTCACACTCAGAGAGAGCTCTCAACACTGCCGGCCTGTCGGTTGACATATTTTAATGGGCGAGTCACCAGGATCAACCTCTGACCCAAGGAGAGAGGCCTAAAACCGCTCTAAAAACAAAGAGACGAGTGTACAGTCATGCCAGCGCTTAGGGAACAAGCCGCTTGCCCCTTCCCCGAGAAGAAGGATGCACAGCGAGGGCACCCGGGGTCTCGCTGGCTCCTTCTCCTCATTAGTGCTCTGGCGAGGAGGGCTGGCAAGGAGGAGCGGCGCGTTTGCTTGCTGGCAGGCTGCGCCGGGGCACTTTTTTTCCTCACAAAGCTGAAGACAAAGATGCCCTTACGGAGCCGCCCGGCCCCTCAGTCCGCTGCGCTCAGCTGGATGCCTCCATCTCGACGACTTCCTCGAGCGGTTGGGTCTGCACTTCCACCTTCTTCGGGGGGATGTAGGAGCCCATGCCGGCGGCGCGCTCAGCCTCCTCCTGTGTATACGGTGCCTCCCGCAGCTGCTTCAGCCTGTGGGGAAGGCAGAGAGGAGGGCTGAAGCCGTCCACCACAGCTCCTCAAAACAAGACCGGCCCCAAAACGACGCCGTCACCTGCCTCACCCCGACGAAATAGGGGCAGGGGGCTGCGACCTGCTCCGGGGCCCCGCTCAGGCTCCCCCTTACCTCTTCTTGTGCACCTTGGACCTGAAGTGCTCCTTCATGCTGGTCAGGTCCACGAAGTAGCGCCTGGGGTGGGGGGACAAGAAGCCGGGGGTTAGGGGGCCCTGAAATGGGAGTGGGGCTGGGGAGAGCCCTACGGAGGGGCCAGGGCCCCCCCCCCAAACCCCTGGGACCAGCCCCACCGGGCCAGGGTCCCCCCCAAAACCAGAACAAGCTCCT